AATTAGAAGTCCCAATTTTGGAGTAAATTATCTTTTCCAGACAGTCCATCCGGGCCTTAATGAAAATGCGTGTGAAGGTTGAAATGAATATCATTATATATATTCCATTACAATTAGACATTTAAAATCAGTATTCCCAGGAGGAGATGTCAGCTTGTTTCATCGCTATAAATTGCAAGTGCAATTAAAAAAAAAGAAATGAACTTTCTTTTCTTCAGGTATTCCTGGGTCAGAAATACGGTTATCGTCCAATTCCAACATACGTTCTGAGCTCGGAGTTAGAGATGCTCCGAGCCGACCTTGAAACCCAAGGTATGGAGGTTGAAGTGCTGGACACCTGGTACAAAAAGGACAGCAACGCTGTACCACCGACAAGTGTCTTGCAGCCAATTTCCTCGATTCTCAAGAATTTCAACAACAAGCGAATTCCAAAGCTGCAGGCAGAAGACCAAGCGATCTGGTGGGACACAATGCTGAAGATGCAGAAGCTATTCCGAAAAGGTGCTCAGTCCCTCTTCAACGCTGGTAAATTTGACAAAGACACGATGCACAACTACTTCATGTCTGTCACCGAGCGAGAAGTTATAAACGGCATCCTAAACGTCAAGAACACGAAGAACCACTGTTTGGCATACGTCAGATACATAAACAATATCAATCTCCAGAATTTGCGGAAGGCAGGTCTCTTCCTGGACATTGCTAACAGGAGTTTAGACAACGAGGCAGCAAGATTGCTGGCTGATCTTCGAGACGAGAGGCTCCCCAACAAGATTGAGAGTGGAAATCTTCAGCGATATACAGTAGAATGGATCGGACGCGAGGGACTGGACCCTGAGACCCACGGTGAATACCTCCAGCACTTCATCACCCACTTCTACAGGAACATGGTGAAGCTAGTGGATAGAGCAATGAGAAAAGAGGACAGCTCAGCTCAGGGTCAAATAATCACAGAGCTGCTGCAGCATCTGCACGCGTGCAACAACTCAGTGAAAGTCTTCTACGGGCGTGAAGACTCCCTGGAGAAGATCAAAACGTACATGCTGGGGGAAAGTGAAAAGCCATTGGTGCTTTATGGTGAAGGGGGTTGCGGAAAGACTTCGCTCTTAGCAAAAAGCGCTGGTCTCAGTAATTCAAACAATTGGCTGTCAGGAAAGAAACCGATCAGTGTCATCAGGTACCTGGGGACAACACCCGACAGCAGCGCACTCACTCCCACTCTGATCTCCATTTGCCAACAAATATCTTACAACTTTATGCTTCCTTTCGATGAAATCCCGGACGATCTGGTGCCCCTGACAGCGCACTTCAAACATCTTCTCACTCTTGCCACCTCTCATCAACCGATTCT